AGTTCCTTTCTTAGGAGAATCAGCATCAGCTCTCCCTGATAGTTTATCGTCTTTCTAAAACCGCTAATGATATTATTGTTTGATTTATCTATTTACCCATTGTGCCTCCAGAAGAGTGAAAAATATCATAGTCTTTGAGCATCCAGAAAATTGTTCTAATCACGCAATTAGAAAAGCATTATAAGATGGATATCTTACCTCTTCATGATGTGTTTACTTGATTCCCAGCCAGGAGTACTGATCATTTCTTTTCTGAACCCTTAAAGCTCTTGTAGTCAGCAGCATACAACTTAGCTAAGGCTGCTAAGCTTCCTTCTTTCCCCCAAGATAACCAGTTTTTAAGGCACCTAAGTCAAGGATAGAAGACTTGGCCCAGTCTTTTTAGCTTTTACTTCCCCAAATCCATTATGCTCTCAGAAGTCATGGAGGAGGGTTCCCTTTCCTGAGAGAATCTTGGGAAATTTAGTGCAATTAGCTCACCAAGGAGCTATGCCACATTTATTCATGGCCTAGTCACTTTCAGAAATCATAAATCAATCTAAATAGCCCAACATTTAATAGTTAATGATAGACTTTATTGTTTTTTGAGCCCCCAGGAAGGCAATTGACTCTTGTTGCCTGAGCTAAGTTGTAAACAATTCAAGAGTGGAGAAAGCAGAGGCCAGCCCCAGCCTGTAAATGTTACCTATTTAGTTGATTCAAGCAGGTTTCAAAATTCTAGTAAATATAATCATATCACTCAATTTTGGTTTGCAGTCTCATAACACTGATCTATTAATGGTATATTGTTCATTTATTTACTCCAATTAATTTTTTTCTAATGTCTCATGATTCTATTCTACTATTCTCTTCCCCTCCTCCCCCCCCCCTTAGGAAGACTATCATGCCAAATTTTTTTTTAAAAGGAGAAAATATTGTGATTTGAAACATAGGACATTTTATTTCACCAAAGAGTTTCTGATATCGTAACATAAGAGCTGTAGTTAAAGAACAGGTAGTTGAAATCAATCATTAAGTACCTACTGTGTGCAGTAGCCTTGTACTGGTGTTGAAATATTCACTGGCATTTCAAGCTGCATTATTGATTAGGAGCTGCCTCAAGACTGAAACTTAGTGTTTGCTGCCAGAGTTCTCAAAATCACAATATATAAAACCATGTTCAGTGTCACCATGATGTCAATGAGTCCAGTGAGAAACACAAAGGCAAGCCAAAGGAAAACAAGGAAGATAGGAATTTGGATTGTGTCCGTGACCAGTTTAAAATACAGAAGCCTGCCTTTGGAGATAGTGAAATCCTTAGCATCGTGTTGGAAATATTTTCAGAATGTTGTAGAATATAACACAAGGTAAATGAAATTCTGATTTTAAGTAGACTTAAACAGCAGGAGTACATTTCAGAGTGGAGGCTGCCAGGCTTTAGGATTTATAAATCAGTAAATTAAAGAGAATAAGTAATTGAAGAACTATTGGGAGTTGTCACTTCTTTATTTTTGCTAAGTGTTGCTAGCACTATTCCCCTACTATGATTCTGTTGCGCAATGAAGTCCCCACACTAGATCTGAGCCATAATAGAGTTTATTAAACAAAGGATGAAGAAACATTTCAAAGGATACAAAAAAAAATTTTGGTTGTTTGTTTTTTATCACAATGTGGAAGCTACTGGTTGGCATCTCCCTCACACAAGAGCCCAGTTCTTCTCAGCCCTATCATTCCCAGGGACCTGCCTGGGGACCTGCCACCAGCATGTGCAGGAGACTGTGTGGTCTGGACAGCCACCTCTGTGTCTTATACAAGCCATTACAGTATTCCCTTCTGTGCTTAGGCTGACACTCTTCTGCTGTCTGCAAGCCTTACCTCTAAACCATACTCAGGCTTCTCCCTGACTTATACTAGGCTCCCCTGAGACTCATACAAGTGCAAGAAAGTATTTTATCAGAGCTGGTGATATAATAGATTGTAGTTACTGCATTAAAAAAAAACACTTTTATTATGGAAAATTTCAAGCATATCTTAAAGTAGAGCCTGTATAATGAACCATCATATAGTATCACACAGCTTTGACAATTCTGAACTAATAGCCATTTTTTCTATACCTCCACCCATTTCCCCTACCCTAAATAACTGTGAAGCAAATCCCAAACATATAATTTCATCCATAAGCATCTCGATATATGTGTGTGTGTGTGTGTGTGTGTGTGTGTGTGTATATATATATATATATGGCTATGGACACTTAACTGAAGTATTACTAAGGTATTTTAAAACATTACATAAAAAACATATATAAAAGCTATGGACACTTTAAATAAAATAACTGAATTATTACTAGGGTATTTTAAACATTAACCCCTTAATATCATCAAATATTTAGTGAATTTTAAATTTCTTTCATTGTTTTACAATGTACATATATATAAAAATTCATTTAAATATTTATGGATATTTATATAATGGTTTATTTGTCTATTCAGGATCTATAAAGGTCTGACTTTTTTCTACTAGTTATCACCATCAGGATTTTCATGATGGCATCCATGTGGTTTTATTTTACATGTTTGTCTCTTGGATTTCTGTAAATTGAGAATCGATCCTAAGGCTGATCATTTTCATGTTTTGTTGTTTTTGTTGTTGTTGTTGCTTTTGGCAAGAACGTTTCATAGGTAGTGTTCTGTCGTTCTATCAAAAGACACATAATATATGGTTCTCTTTCTTTTTCTTATTTATAAATATTTTTATGTCAACAGCCATTTAATACTTGGTCTAGAGCCTTTATCTCATTGAGAGTGCTGGTATTTTCTTACTTTTCATCTTACAAAGATGCAAGCAAATATTACCCAAGATCTGATTCCTGGAGCATTTTAAAGTTTTCATGCTGTTGTCCTTATATAGAGTCATATGCCAAACTCTTTAGCAGTTGTTCACTGCAATGGAAAAGTGCAACCTCAAGTCTCTGTCACATACCAAGCAAGGATGATAAAAAGCAAACAAAACCATCATCTGAAATCATCATTTCATAAAATGAAAGGTTTTCAACAGCAGAAATGGGAAGAATTTAAGATTAAAAGACAGAATTTTAAATTAAATACATATATCTTTCTCAAAAATTCATCACACCATCCTGATTTCACACGCCACCATGGACAGGGGCCACTGCATTCTGGACTCAAACAATGGACTAGAATGTAAGAACTATTGTTTAGCTCCATGACGTTAGTAAACGTCTGCTAGAAGGTAATGTGAAAATTTGTCCAGCCAAATTACAGGACTAACAACTTTAAGAGTATCTTTAACTTATTATGTATTCCAAATCACTATATGCAATTTTCAAAAGCTATTAAAAGGTTACTCTTTAATTCAATAAACATGTATTGAGCACCAATTCTATGTCACCTACTTATTCAGGTGTTTAGAATATAAAATACAGTAGAATACAAATATAACAAAGATTAATAAAAAAGCAGAGTGGAGACAATATTGAAATTGAGAACCTGCGTTCTTGCTCTCCCTCCAAGGAGCCTCCTCATACCCCTGGGCATTTAGTATCCTATGAATGGGTATAAAAAGGCATGTTTGTCTTTCTCTTTGAAAACTAAGTTACATAGTGAAAATTATCTGAAGAATCAAAGGTAAACTATAAAATATAAGAAACTACATGATAACTTTTGGAATTAAATCTGTGGTTTCTCATAGTATATATTCTCACTGTAATAGACTTAATATGTTCTTTCTTAAAAGCTTCAAAATGGGATTCTTTGCACTAATGATTTATTGAGGTCATCTTTGAAAGTATCCCTAGTATCACCATCTATCCATCTCCTTTTGCTGATAAGGAAACAATCCTCCAAATGTGACATGACTTACAGAATGGGTTAGTGGTTGAGCCTCCTGATCTCCAGCTCTGTGCTGCTCTCCCTGTTCCACACTAAGGTTTCTTTCACATTAGGAACTATACACATATGCAGTGCATTTGAATCTCCCAGAGCATTAAGGCATAGTAGGGAGGCAGTCTTGTTTTGGAGAGCAGAAGTGCACAAAAAAGTGATACAAAAAGGCAAGTGGCCACAGGGCTCCTAGGGATTCTCTCTGCTAATCATGTACTCTACTTGCCCTACTGCTCCTAGCCCTGGCAGCTCTTCTCTTCTCCTTTGCCCTTTCTAAACCCCATCCTCCTGTCCTCTTGACATCAGCTTGGTGGGACTGATCAGTGTTTTGATTATAACTTTGTGTGCTGTTGACCTTGGCCAATCAGGCTGGCCTTGTATTACCAATTCTCACTCCTTGAAGAGAAGGAATAACATTGAAATGCTTGACCTGGGAACTTGAATTCAGTTCAGCTGTTTTGGCTGGTATAGTATGTTTTAAAAATCAAACTTGAATGCCTTTATAGTGGACTTGCACGTCCTCATTGGCTGCACACTCCCCCCACTGCCTACTGGATTACACCAGGCTTTTCTACACACTTTTCAGAACTGCCTGGCCCCTGAAAGCATTTGAGTTGACTACTGGTGGACTGACATCTTCCTGACAGACTGTGACAGGAAGATCTTGGGTTCTTTGGGGTAACAGACACTAATTTTCAGTTTACTATGGGTCTCTTTAAAATCAAAAGCATTGCCTATGGCATCTCTCTCACTGGTCAGAATTTAGTACTGATGTGGCCAAAATCACAGTGCTTTGCATTCAATAATGAGTCTTAGGGAGTTCAAGTGAGAGTGTAGATGGAGGGAGAAAGAGTTCAGAAGAACCCAGTTAAAATACATTATTGTGTGTGCTCAAGAATCTTGAAGCAATCATTTGTTATTAACACCTTGCTTTTCTGATAGAAATGCCTACAGACAGAAGACTTAGTAATATTTGGTTTAATACAGAAGGGTCCCTTTATCTCATTTGTGAAAGGATTCTCCTGGATGTGGCGCTCTCCAGGGAAGGTACAAGGCCATGCAACAGTGTATTTTGCCTTGGTCCCAACATCATTTTCATTCAAATCCTCTTCAATACAGGTTGCCAATTTGGCCTGTTCCATCTCCAACAATGAAGAAGGGGTGAAATTAGTTCGGATGGCAGCCACCCAGATTGACAGCCTGTGTCCCCAGGTAAGCCTCATTTACTTTGTTTCCAAAGCCTGATATTTCAGATCTTCTACGCTCCAGCCCTCATGTCACTCATTTCCTTGCCTTGCCCTCTTTCCTCTCACTGGAAAGTGCTACCCAACATTCATGGGCCATTTCAGGTTCTGCCTTTCTCAAAAAGAACTTCAAACTATTCCAGTCTCTTCAGAATTACTGTGGCGATTATTCTCTTTTCCACTCCTATTGACTTTCTTCTATTTGTCTTGGACTGTTATTTCAATGCTCCATATCTATTTACCTTTAGTGTCTCAACCACTAAATTATATGCTTGCGCATGTAGAACAAGACTTCTATTTCTGCCACATCTGTGCTAAGTAGGCTTTGTCCAGTAAGCACTTTTTGAAACCTATATCTTACAAAAAGAAGAAAAGCAAACAAAAATTAGCAGTAGTTGATAACCTACTTTAAGTTTCATGTTTTGATTGTCCTTCCAAACACTGGGAACCCACTTATCTGTGGAAGCTGCAGGGTCCAGGATTTCAACATGATCTTTGACCTGCTTGTTCCTCTTTCAAAGAGTGTGGTCAATATGTCCCTGGATTGTTTCTAACAAATAGGTCATCAATGCCGCTCTCACACTGGCTGCCCGGCCACAGAGCAAAGTTGCTCAGGACAATATGGATGTCTTCAAAGACCAGTGGGAAAAGCAGGTCCGAGTGCTGACAGAGGCTGTGGATGACATCACCTCAGTGGATGACTTCCTTTCTGTCTCAGGTAATCACAAATGGGCCCCTTACAAGGCAGCCGAAGGGAGAGAACAAGACGAGATGAGGAGTATCTTTCAAATGTCATGGGTCTCTGCTTCAAGTGCTCTCCTTGGCCCTTTGAGCTGTCAATCATCTCTGCAACTGTAATTGTAACACCCTCTTGAAAATTCTTCTCTGCTGTGCACATTATTTCAAGACACTGAGCCAAAGCATTTGGGGGGAAAACACAAATTTCTGATCAAGATATTAGAAACCTGAACAGATTATTTAAGTAGAGTTAGCCTCCTTTTTACTTCCTGGAGTTTTTAAAATAGGATGGCCTTTGATGCATCTGAATCATCCATCTAAAAAAGGGTATGGGTTATGAGACTGGTTATGTTTAAAAATCAAAAAAACAATGAGTTATTCCAATTTGGCTGCGTTAAGGTTTTTTCCCTCAATAAGTGAAGTTACCCAGGTTTGTGATAAGCTGGGAAGAAATATTAGCCACAGAATGAGCCCATTAGAAGGTACTTGGGAGCTATTGAGGCTTTGAGCGCTTGACCATGAGGTTGTGGAAAGAAGTGAGAGAAAGTAACTAGTCATCACTGGAAATTGTAACTTTCTTCTTTGTAAATGAAGCCAGACTGAAGGATGTTGGCACATTTGAATAACCATGTAATCAATTTGACCTTTAACGGGGCTCATCAATGCTGTTTCAAATTTGGCTACAGCCAGCTAATGGGCCTTTTTCCAAACACATTTGACTAAACACACTTGACCCAATTCACCTGGAAAAGTCTCTATGGGAGGCATGGGGGAGGATTGCGAGGCATTAAAATAACCAAGTGACGCTTGAAAATTCAAATTGACCAGGTGTTGACTCTACCCACAGGCATATGGAACTCACACCTGACAGCTCAGGTGTGCCCTAGCCTTGACCAGGACTTACTGAGGTCTGAGAGGGAGGGGTTGCAGCACAGCTGGTGGGATCCAGAGAGACAGGGCCTCTGACTGCAACAGTGTGGAAGGGGTTTCTGCAGGAGGCTTCGTGTATTTAGAAACTTTTCTCTAGTTGCAGTCTTTCCTTTCACCAAGAAACTGACAATGAATTTCCCACTGGGGGCTTGTGTTTAAAGCTTGTCTGAGAACAGCATAGTTGAATCTGTAGATCTGATGGATGATGGAAAAGCCAACTTTGAAATCATGGAGGGCAGGGCAAAGGAGATGGGAAAAATGAGTAAACACATGCTCAGTATCTATAATTTGTCTGACTTTCTGCTATTTGGTTTAATTCACACCAAAGTTTTTTAAGATAGGCATCACTATTCTGAGCCTTCCTTTGAGAAAAGTAAGGCACTGAGAGGTAGGTAACTTGGCAGAGGTATAATTAAAATCCAGATATCCTCTTTCCAGAATCTATATAGTTCTCAGTAAGCCTAGATAGAAGGGAATTTGCCTTTGATGTTTCCAGTTTTCATTGCAGCTCCTTCCCCACCCCCTCAAACCTCGCCATCCCCTCTGGTACCACCATTCCACTCTCTCTTCCCTCTTGGAAACCTGTCTTATTCTTCATTCCCAAAGTGCTTTCTTTTTGATGACTTGTCAAAGCAACTATTCATTTAAACATACCCATATCCAGGGGTTGGCTGATAAAGAACTCAATGTGTTGCCATTCCTGGGATTTTTGCTTCACTGATGCGTGAGTCCTAACAACATAAAAGATATGCAAGAAATGTATCTTTGATAAGGTTCTTAGAAATTGTTTGGATAGACATATTGGGGATTTGAGTGGTGGGGAACAGAAGGACGGACACCAGGACTGAGCATCTTTCTTGTATCTAGTCAGTCTTTGCCAAGATGACTATAGGGGTCCCCAAAAGGGGCAGGGGGACTCTCCAACCAGCCTCAGATCTCACACAGCAATCCTAACAGCACCTGGAAATCTTATGCTATTCCCCTTCTATCTACAATTGAATAGAAAATATCCATATACTACCTTTTTCAAAGAGGAATCATTTCAGAACTTAAAGCTTTCCCAACTTCTCCTTTTCTTTAAATGCATATATGAAAATTTCTGAGGGTAGAGAAAAGCAAGGTTAGGAGGTCTTATCTCAGACTGTTTCAGTAGTGCAAAGCTTTTCTTAATTTTCTTCCACCGGATATGCCTCTCTGCCGCCTTCCTCCCTGTCATTCCTTTGTGCATCTCATTATTACCAGCAACAAGGAAAGGCTTTGGCTTCTGCTGATAACACTGTGCAGTCCAACCCCAGTGGTACAAGCGCCGCCGGCATGCCATGACAGGAAAATGAACAGGCACCGTCAGGGAGCCAGCCTTGGCAGGACCTGCTAGAGCATGCCTTTGGACTTGACAATCGGAGGCGGCAGGCACCTTTCCACAGATGGGCTTGACAAATAATGACACAGGCCACTCTGTCCTGCTGGTAGACTGTAGATACAGCCCGATAGTTGGGGAAACTACTTCTCATCTCCTCTCCGAGCTGGAGCCAAAACATTTGCATCAGTAAATTGCAAGGTTGGCCCAGGAGATATTTTGAAATGGCATTAATGACACTTTATGTATCAGTTTCTTCTTAAGGGAATATCTATCCTGGCAGGAAACTCTATTTTGAAAACAACAACAGAAAATATTTTTTTTAAGGGATAGTTTTGTTTTGCTTTCTTTCCTTTTTTTTTTTTTTCATGCTACCTGAACTTGTGTGTCTGAGTGCTTAATTTGTCCATATGAAAAGCAGCAAGTTTGGGGAGCTACTAACATTACAGGAGCAAAACCAATTTTCAGATGTAGTCTGGGCTTATAAAAAAAAAATGAAATGGCTGTATTAGAACACTTAAATGTTTCCCACTGGGCAAAAACTAAAATTTTTAACAGTGTCTTAAAATGAGCACCCTGGCATTAATCACATAACAGTTGAATTCTTGGGTTTGGCTCACAAAATAGCAGGCATCTAAGATCTGAAAAAGCTGTTAACTCAATCCCATAATGTCTAAAAGTTTTGTTTTGTTTTGTTTGCCTTTTCCTCTTTTATTTGTTTGGTTTTTTTTGACTCCAGGGTCTTGAGTTTGTTTTATTAAAAAATTCACAGACTGAACTTTGCTTTTGAATTTAGAAACTATAGCTTTAAAGCTTATCATAATCAGGTAGTTTGGTCATCTGTGATTTTTTAACAAGATTATATCTTTCCTGAAATTGTAAGGTTGCAAAAATTCAAGGAAGTTTACCACAAGATACGTTGCAGTCAAATGTTTTATGATGTTTAAAAACCATGCTTTACATCCAGGCATCCAAAGTACCTAAGGGGTTTATCCCAGCAATGTAATCATCTCTGGAATACAGGTGCTTTTTATTATTACTTTCTCTTCTATGTTATTTTCTAGTTGGAACATCATTCCTCTATCTCCTTACTTAATGAATTCTTTCTCCTGAAAATACCTTAGGATAAAAATATATAATTGATTGTCCCTCTTCAATGGACATGTTTATTCAGGATTTCTTCTTTGATTGCCTGCTCTAAGGCGCTGTCAGGTATGAAAATATGAGTTAAGTGTGGATTCTGCCTTTGAATAATTCACTGCCCTTTTTGATAGATACTAGACCAGAGTAATTCCAAACTTGTAAACCCCAGACCTGATGGTGTAGGGACTAGGGGTGGAGAAGTTATTACAAGGGGTCCAGGGAAACCATATAGAGACCAAGTGTCATCTTTTGATTAAATAATATGTCTGCAAGAACAATATAGTTCTTTTCAAGTGCATTATTGGTACTTAGATTAATAAAGTACAAATTTATTTTAAAACATTCTTTATCATAGTGGCTTTTACATATATATCATCCACCGGTATAACTACTATCATGAGGGAATTGTAATTCATTTTTTTTATAAAAGGGGTACCTCTAATTAGGTAAAGTTGGGGAATGCAGAGTAAACTATCTCAACATTTCATAAAAAGAGTTGATTAAGAAAACTGAGTCAGTTAGTAAACTGAAAATTAGTAAAATTAATATTTTATTCACACATGATTAATGTGACTAACCATTGAACAAATTAATTGGCAATTCAATTAAAAACAATGCTGTTGCTATGATGGCCTCCTTCAATTAATGTATACAGTTGACCCTTGAAATACTTGGGGGTGTGGGGCACCGACCCTCCCTCCACACAACTGAAAATCTGGGCATAACTTTACAGTGAGCCCTATAGATGGGAACTTCCGCATCTGTGGATCCAAACAACCTCGGCTCTGTGGTACTGTAGTATTTACTACTGAAATAAATCCATGTATAAGTGGACCTGCACTGTTCAAACCTCTGTTGTTCAAGGGTCAACTGTAGTTATACCTATGAAAGCATATTCTTTTTCTTGCCTCCTAATTAAATTAGTTGCATATTTTAGTTTGGAAATTAGATTTTAAAAACTATCATTTCATTTTAGGATATTAGGTCATGAATGGACCTCTTACATTTTAAATTTTGTTAATTCCAGATACATTAGTATCTAATGTAATTGAAAGATTCCTCTGTTTTACATTCAATTCCATCTTTAAACTATGCACAGAAAAATGGTAGGTATGCTTATTCTTACATTATGTTATTCAAAGAAAATGCCTGTTTTTTTTTGTTTTTTGTTTTTTTGTTTTTTTTTCCGGTACGCGGTCCTCTCACTGTTTTGGCCTCTCCCGTTGTGGAGCAGAGGCTCCAGACGCGCAGGCTCAGTAGCCATGGCTCACGGACCTAGCCGCTCCGGGCATGTGGGATCTTCCCGGATCGGGGCATGAGCCCGTGTCCCCTGCATTGGCAGGCGGACTCTCAACCACTGTGCCACCAGGGAAGCCCGAAAATGCCTGTTTTTGACATGAACACCCTCGCAGTTGCCCATTTTCAGGGACCACGACATATTTTAATTGTCTGGAGGAATCCAGCAGGGCAGTAAGAGAGACCTATTTGAATCAAACTTCTGTATTTAAAATCCTCTGCCAAGTTTCATTTGAGTAAACCTTTTTTTTTAAGGTGTCCTTTTAGGTGAGTTTGCATGATCCAATCCAAGATCTCATAAAGAGTTGGTTTCAGAAGTTCCTTAATCAAAATGAAAGCCTTTAAGTCTCTATTTTCACAACTGTCTTTCTCGTTCTCTCAGGAAAATATCAGCATTCAGGAAATAACTTCTTGTGAGTTTAAGATATCGAAATATTAAAATTTAAACATTTCATTTTTTTTCTATTCTAATTTCTATTTGAAACCAGAGAATGTAGAAATCAGAAATTTATAAATAGTTGAGTGAGGAAATCATATTGTATGAGGTCAAACAGATGTTCCTTTATGAAACATGTTATACTTTGCAATTTTCTATCCAATGTCGTATAAAAACAAATATTTTCTCTGAGTGATTTGTTTAATGAAAGAAGGAGAGATCCATGGGACAGACTGGGATTTGCTGAGTACCCTCCCATCTCTCCTTTAGGAATTTATAAATCAGAACTCGCTCTAGAAACTTCTTAAAGAGGTAATCATTCAATTTAGCCCTTTATTAACTATTCATTGAATAGTTATAATTTCTTAAGGGTTACCAGATTACTTAAGACTACTTCCAAGCTTGTTCTATTATTCTATTGTGTGTGTATATGTATATTTTCAGCTTAAGTTCTTTTGTTTTCCTCAGAGTACTAAACTTTTTGAACATTTCCTTAGAATTCTGTTTCTAAAGAATGTTCAAGGAACATAATAACAGATCTCACATTGGACATGGAAAATACAAAATTGCACACTTACAAAACTGTAAGGGACCAGACTGCATGTTTTTTCTAGGCTGGTAGAGAGAAAAACCTCTCATCCTGCCTGCTTGGATTCTGCTTTGGACAATGATGGAGAGTGATCCCTGACCCTGACTCCAATCTGAGGGAACCAGCCACAGACTGGATTGTATTACAGTTGTGGGGAACTCTGTGATCCTCTTCACCTGATCAGTTTCCATTGCATATACGTTATGCATGACACAACATTGGAAGACTGATGGGGTGATATTTGTTCATTTTAAAGTCTCCCTTAAATATTTCCTCAATAAAAACATGATCCAACCCAAAGTGCAACTCTGGACATGTCTAGAAACGTTGCTGCTTGGTGACGCTGCCACTACCACTCTTTTTTTTTTTTTTTTTGCGGTACGCGGGCCTCTCACTGTTGTGGCCTCTCCCATTGCGGAGCACAGGCTCCGGACGCGCAGGCTCAGCAGCCATGGCTCAGGGGCCCAGCCGCTCCGCGGCATGTGGGATCTTCCCGGACCGGGGCACGAACCCGCGTCCCCTGCATCGGCAGGCGGACTTTCAACCACTGCACCACCAGGGAAGCCCCTACCACTCTTAAAAGACCTTTTCACCCAATAAATCTTAAACACTGAAACAAAGAAAGATATATTTTTAAAGTTGGTGGTTCTCAAAGTGTGGTCACCAAACCAGCAACATTACCATCACCTGGGAACTTGGTAGAAATGCAACTTCTTGGGCCCGACCCCAGACCTAGTGAATCAGAAACACTGAGAGAGACACCCAACAGTCTCTATGATGCTACAAATCCTCCAGTTGATGTTCAAGTTTGAGAACCACTATTGTAATTATAAACTATGTTCTTTAAATATAATTTCAATGTTATTAGGCATGTATTGAGATGTACAAGTTGATGGCTTGTGAGTTAATGAATCTATCTTCAATAGGTTTTTAAGTGTGTCAGTGGTATAAAATCATATAAATGTGTATGTGTCCTCTCCACAGAAAATCATATCTTGGAGGATGTAAACAAGTGTGTGATAGCCCTTCAAGAGGGGGATGTGGACACTCTGGACAGGACTGCAGGGGCTATCAGGGGCCGGGCAGCTCGAGTCATACACATCATCAATGCTGAGATGGAGAACTATGAAGCTGGAGTTTATACTGAGAAGGTGCTGGAAGCTACAAAATTGCTCTCTGAGACAGGTAACCATGGATATTAGGTTTGACCAAAATGTCAGCAACATGATTAATTTCCATACCTGAATCAATCTGTTTCATTGTTTCCCATAGGTCTTTCTGCTTCTAAATTACACATGATCATAAAAAGGGTGCTCTTTATTTCTTGAGTTTGAATTGGAATACTTTAGCAGAATAATAATTTATTGTTTTGCAGTATATACTACTCTACAGTTTTTATATATAAGCACTTGATTCTCACAAGGACCTTGTGAAGTAGGCAGATTTTTATTATCTCCTATTATGAATGTGAAAATGGAGTTTTGAATCAGTTAATAAACTGGAAAAAGGTCACAAGTCTAGAAAATAGTGAATATGTGATTGGAACTTGGAATCTTGAACTTGAAAAACATTTCCCTGTCTATTTCTTGAGAAGATAAGGACAACCAGGGAAAAGCATAAAGGCTCTAGGTAGTATATGGACATGAAGTAATCAAAGGAGGTAGTGGTTACTGAAAAAGGGTTAGACTTTAATATATGTCCTGCTCCTCTTACAAAGGCTTGCATGCCCTCTTCCAGGGGCATGTGGCTGCCCACTGGGGAATCACGGTCGTGGTGAGACACGGTTACTTATGGGAGCCTGTCATAGCTCTCTGGTACACTGACACGGAAAAAAGACTTATTTCTACTGAGTTAGCACAACAACCCATAACTCTGGATAGTTGTGTCAAAGAGTAGCCTATTTTTAGTAGTTTTTGCTCTTGACTGGTGTCTCTTGGCTTCAGACCCTTTCTGAAGTCCCTTATGCCTTGTGTATTTGTATATATGGGGGAATGAGAGTAGAGAGAAAGTCCAGGAATGGAGAGAAGACAAATAGAATTAACTTTATATTGGATGGAGTTATGAATGGGTAATGAATTGGGTCCTCTGTATGTGTAGAAGGAACTTACCTCAGCATCAGTGGGAGTCTTCATGGGTCTATATATGGAATTTGGAACCCACTAGGCTTTTAAAAATAGACATATCTCTGAAAGGTCAGATATAGCAGTGTTCCAAGTTCTACATGATAAGACATGTTAGTAGAAACATGTTTCCTTCTACAGGGAAAAGGTTATTTACAAAGACTGCTGTAGCTATTTGTTAGTCTAGAATAGCATGGAAAAACAACAGATAAACAGACTTTGGTTGCTCTCTGAAATATAGGCAGAAAAGGACTAGTGTAATATCACATAATAAAGAGCACATCTAGGGATCGTTGCTCTTGAGAATCCTCACAGACTTAGAATTACAAATAATAACAATAATAATACGATATATCCATAATTCAAAAAGAGTCATGTACCACAATGTTCATTGCAGCTCTATTTACAATAGCCAGGACATGGAAGCAACCTAAGTGTCCATCGATAGATGAATGGACAAACAAGATGTGGCACATGTATGCAATGGACTATTACTCAACCATAAAAGGAAACAAAATTGAGTTATTTGTAGTGAGGTGTATAGGTCTAGATTCTCTCATACAGAGTGAAATAAGTCAGAAATAGAAAAAAAAATACTGTATGCTAACATATATATATGAAATCTAAAAAAAAAAAAAAGGTTCTGACGAACCAAGCGGCAGGACAGGGATAAAGACACAGACGAAGAGAATAGACTTGAGGACACGGGAAGGGGGAAGGGTAAGCTGGGACGAAGTGAGAGAGTAGCGTGGACATATATGCACTACCAAATGTAAAACAGATAGCTAGTGGGAAGCAGCTGCATAGCACAGGGAGATCAGCTGGGTGCTTTGTGATCACCTAGAGGGGTGGGATGGGGGGGTGGGATAGGGAGGGTGGGAGAGAGACACAAGAGGGAGGAGATACTGGGATATATGTATATGTATAGCTGGTTCACTTTGTTATAAAGCAGAAACTAACACACCATTGTAAAGCAATTATACTCCAATAAAGATGTTAAAAAAAAATAATATGATATATCCACATTGTAATTAGCTGAAATTCAGCACTATTTTTTTTTTTCAAATAGGCTTGCCCTTTGCATTCAATAGAGCAACACAATGCAAGCCATATGGTATTTCTTTTCTCATTTGGAATAATTAGAAACAGTTATTTTACTCTCCAATTTAAGGACTTTTTTTCACCCTTAAGGAAACTCTGTCACATTTTTGGAGCTCTCAGTTCCTGGCCCATTACTTCGATTTTGTTACAAAGTCTCAGCTTCCTGTGGTATATCTGACACATAGCAGCATTTCCTTGGATCTGACACTGAGTGAAGAGTGTCAGAAGTTTCAACTCATGACTGGTTGGAATGATTACTGCCGCAGATGACATGCAGAGCATATTGCCAACTTATAGGCGACTTTGTGCACACAAAGACTTCAGCGTTGTTCAAGAGACATTTTAGATTTCTTTCTTATTGAGCCTTGGGGTGCTTTAATAAATAGAAGGAGTGGTGCCCATTGGGTCAAAATCGACATAAAGGCAAGGGCAGTGTGCCTAGCTGATGGAAATATTTTAACATAATTTTCACCCAAAGTCTTGAAATGTAAATAATATTCTGGTTGAAGTTTTTTTAACTGAAAAAAAAATCAATGAAACAGAGCAATCCATCCTGGATTGTTGTTGCTAATGAAGATTTTGCTCTTATTTGTCAATTTTCAGATCTTTAAAAATTCTCATCTCAGCCCTTCCTTGCAGTGATTGAATACTTGGGGTACTTCACTAAAGGCACCTTCCTGATTCTGATGTCCACATCCAATTCATAATTGAACAGAAAAGATAAGCAAGACATTTAGATTCTTTCTATTTTTCAGCATCTATTGAAGATCACTAGGAAAGAAGCCAGGTAGAAGAGAGTGAAATAAACAGTTTATAAATAACTAGTAGAAAATGGAATACATGTCAAGGAAAAGTAGATATTAGTGGGCTAAGAACTAGAATATACAAGGTATATAAATTATTTTGCTTCTGTCCCCAATGGTTCTTCTCTTTCCTAAACAGGAGCAATATGGTTTCTTTATGGGTAAGTAGAGAGGTTGTCAAAGAAATGAAAGCAAAATCTTTAGCTGTGGGCTTCCCTGGTGGTGCAGTGGTTGAGAATCCTCCTGCCAATGCAGGGGACATGGGTTCGAGCCCTGGTCTGGGAGGATCCCACATGCTGCGGAGCAGCTGGGCCCGTGTGCCACAACTACTGAGCCTGCACTCTAGAGCCTGCGTGCCACAACTACTGAAGCCTGTGCGCCTAGAGCCCGTGCTCCGCAACAAGAGAAGACACCGCCATGAGAGGCCCGCACACCACAACGAGGAGTGGCCCCGCTCACTGCAACCAGAGAAAGCCAGTGTGCAGCAACGAAGACCCAATGCAGCCAAAAATAAATAAATTTATTTAAAATAAAAAACAAAATAAAATTTAGCTGTGAGTAGAACAATTGACATACTCACGGATTCCTCATGGAGGGAGAATGCCTCTGCTCTGAAGCCAGCAGGGCTTAAGAGAAGGGATGGTGCTCTCTCACAATCGCACTGGTAATCTGAACATGTGGAACATGAGGTTTAAAATGTGTGATCTATATGGTGACTTAATACCTAGCATTTCTCAATAAGAAATTTCTCTATGAGAAACAAGCTAAAAGAAAAAAAAAGCTTTAGCTGTTAAAATTCACTGGTTGCTAATTAGAATTGTTGGGGGATGTACTACACACATGGAGTTTGAGGAAGAACATGAGATCAGTTCTGTGATTATGGTTATGCAGAGTTTTGTAGGTTATATAGATTTTATAGAATGGATTTGTCCCCTTGTCAGTGTCTGGCTATGCTAAGGAGGGCTACATCCTTCAAATAAAAACTCCTATACAGATCACTAACACCCAAATTTCTACCTTTGGGCTAACATTTTGCTTCTGATTTTAAAAAAAATCTTAGTGCAACGTTTAATTGGTCACTTTTTTATGCAAGTTTATCAAACTTTGTCCTGAGAGTACATTTTATTTTGAGGAGAGAACACGGAGCAGTGGGCAAGGAGTGGAAGGTGACAAGAAGAAGAAGAAGAAAAAAAGGAAGAGTCCAGGACATGGAAGACAAAGCATCATGTTTTCTTTTGTCTTTCCACCAACCTACCAGGCTCTGCCCAGTTTTATATCTGAGTTGTTAAAGGCCCTAGGGCAGAAGTTCTCAACCTCTGTATTATTGACATGTGAGTCTTGGTAATTCTTTCTTGGGGTGGATGCAGCTGTCCTGTGCATTAAGGGTGCTCAGCAGCATCCCTGAACTTACCCCACTAGATGCTTATAGGACCTCTTCCCTTTCCCACTTCAAGTTGTGACAATCAAAATTGTATCTAGACATTGCTAGATGTTCTTGGGTGGACAGAACAACGCCCATGGAAAATAACTGCCACAAGAGAAATAATATTCCATAATAAGAGCAACTTTAAACAAGACTAAATGGAGCCTCTGCATGATGGCCATAGGGTACGGTGAAGGGAATGGAGTGAGAGTCTATTACCAAGCATGAAAAAAAAAGGGGCAGAATGCTCAAAATATCTTAACTAGACCAGACTTTGCTGCTAATGGGGTTTTCAAATACAGGCCAACCTCTGTTTAAACATGCAAATGATGCAGGGGTGGGTCTCTGTAGAGAGAACTCCCACTTTACCTTCGCTGAGAGGCTAGAAATTGAGAGAGATCCAAAGAGTGATGAAACAGTCTGTAGTTAATTTTCCATAAATTACTTTACTTAGTAAAGAGTAAGTAAATTTTTTTGAAGAGTGCTTTTTGTCTTGATATGAATGCTAAGTTAATTTGAAAACACAATTTTGTGGATTATTAGTATGTTAAAATTCTAGGGCAACATTACATAAAAATTTACCTATTTATTTTTTATAAAACTAATCTAGGCAGATGAAAGCACAATAAACTTGACGTACATCAGACTCATTAAATACTAACATGTTTGATGGGCTCTCCAATAAAACCTGAATTATAACAAATTGCCTATAGCTTGGTAGCGAGTGCACCCAACGAG